CAGTATATCCACCATTAAATCAGAGACAGGGGCATGGAACTGAGAAAGCAAACAAATAGTTCTCGAACATTATGATGGGGAAAGGATCTGGGGTATGATTAGTGATGCATGGAATCACCTGGAAGAAATCTGAGTTTGCTTGGGAATTGTATTTACCAAGAAACAAGTCAGGACTAAAAACTCCTTTCCAGCTCCTTCAAGTTGGAAAACAATTTGGGGGAGGAAAGAAAAGCAATATAACAGAAAAATAATGGCACTCCCATGTTTGTCGCAGCACCAGTCAAAAAAGCTAGGGTATGGAATCAACCCAAGTGTTCAACAACAGATGAATGCATAAAAAGTATGTACTGTATATACATAATGGAATACTCTTCAGCTATAAAAGGAATGAAATCCCATCATTCTAGGCAACATGGATGGAACTGGGGGACATTATGTTTGGTGAAATAAGCCAGGAACAGAAAGTTAAACACTGCATGTTCTCATTCATATGTGGAAGCTAAAAAAGTCAATCTCATAGGAGGAAAAAGCAGAACAGAAGATACTAGACACTGGAAAGGGTTGGGATAAAGGGGAACAAAACAGATCGGAAAAACAAGTTCCAGTATTTTATAGTACTGTAGGAAAACTATGCCCCCAAAATGTATACAGAGTTTAAGAAAGGAAAAAATCTATTAATCTTACAAAACTTAATATATGCTGGCAAAAAAGATGAAAATAAGTCACCTTTGACTTCTGCAATATAAGAGGGGCTTGAAGTATATACATATACATGGATAACATCTCTTATATACCAATTACCCTGATGTGATCAACACACATTGTATCAAAACATCACTGTGTACCCCATAAACATGTACAATTATGAGTTAATAAATTTTTTTAAGAAAACAACTTTTTTGATCTTAAGCTTATACCTGCAGAAGCTGTGCTACCCCCAGTGAAGACATACTCCCTCATATCCACTTCAAATGTGGCCGAGAAAGATTATACACAGTGAAGGGCCACAGATAACAGTAGACATGGGAGTTTCTCCCAGGAAGCAGAATCAGAATCTAATCAAGAATAGGTGACAAAAAAAAAAAAGAATAAGTGACTATGGGAGGCAGAATTTCTAGAAAGGGCCTCCAAAGAGTCCCCTCTCCAATCTCTGGAGACTTTGCATATGAGCGATCACTACTGTTATTATGGTACATTATATGGTATGGTTGACCTTAAGATAGGGAGATTATCCAGCTGGGCCCAATGTTATCTCGAGCCCTTAAAAACAGAGAGCTTTCTCTGGCTAATGGTAGATGTGGAAGGCAAAGAGATTAGAAGTATTAGAATGACTGGGTGTCACTGCTGCTTTGAAAATGGAGGGGCCTCCTCTAGGAGCACAGAATGGACACCAGCTATCAGCTGGTGAGAAAACATGGACCTCATTCCTACAACTATAAGAGACTGAGCACCAGGCTTGTGAGAGTGGTCACAGGTTCTTGATGGAGGCTCTGGGAGTGAGACAATCTCCTGGCCAGCATGGAGATATTTTGCTGCCCAGAGACGAGTCCTCAAGCAGCTGCATGCATTAATGAGATAAGCCTGGCTGGTTAGCAAGTAGGTGTTACACTTTGAACACTCATGGTGCACCAGGTGGGAATCGAGCCCATGACAGAGGTTGCTTAGGGCTCTCCCTGGAGATACAGTAAGCCCACCTCTTGCAGGCATGTACCTTCAATCCATGTCCCGGCTCTTTATTCACGTGGTGATAGGGTTCCACAACTGCCCCCATATACAACCTCAAGTGAATTCTTGCCCAGAGCCTCCAAATAAGAGCCTGGCCTAACAAGCACCTTCATTTCACTCTTATGAGACCTAGCTGAGCCCTCCTAGACTTCTGGCATAGAGAGACTGTAAGATAATAAATATGGATTATTTTAAGCCCATGAGTCTGTGGTATTTTGTTATACAGCAATAGAAACCTGACATAATGGCCTGAATAATGTCTCTTCATTGTATTCCAGAAATACTATGGCCAGTGATTGTTGTTAGGCTGATGTTGCAAAAACGCAAGTGGATTTTTGTTGAGGTCATCCAGATCCTGCTCCACCATCACATTTAGGGAGTAGTAGTTAACTTTTTTGGTTCATGGACCACAAGACCACAAAATGCCACAGCTGAACCTGGTAAGGTAGACCAAGCATAACTCAGAGATCATGGGCTTTGAGTTGGATGGGACCGTGGATCACCTCCCTTGAGAACAGAGTACTGTACTCTATATGTAGGAGGAAGCCCTATAATGGGTGATCAGGAAGGAAAACTGTGGCAGAGACTGCTATGTGTTCACCACATCATTTTTCTTCTTAGTTCTGGGCACAAAGCTAGATTATAACTCCTTTGTAATTACTCCAGTTACAAAGTTCCGATAGAATATTGGTGGGAGTTAAATAGCTGCTTCCCAGACTTGGGCCCTAAAGCAATCTCCAACACAATCCTTTGCACTCTCTTTCCTCAGTGCGAAAATCTTGGGGAGAACTCAGAGGTGACAGAAAAGCTACAACAGAGAGACATAAAGAGCTTCAGCCTCTGTGTGTGGCAGAGTCCCACTAACACATGGTCACCCCACCATCACCACCATCACCACCACCCGTCGGCCATTGGATTGTGACATGAGAGAAATAAACTCAATTTGTTAAGACATTGAGATTTGTTTCTTGTAACAGACTACGCTGACTGATACATTGCCTACTTGATACATACGCATATATTTAAAATAATCCCTAGAATATCAAGTACCATAGAATTATATCGATGTGTCATTTTTAAAGTCATAAATTCAACTCTCTTCTTTGACAGATGATAAAACTGAGGCCCAGAAAAACTGACTTGCTCAAAGTCACACAGATAATTATGTTAGAACTTAAACTAAAATTTAGATATTACCTCCAGTCCAGTACTCTGAATGGTACTGTCTTTCCTTCTTTCATGACACATTTCAAAATGTCTACTCCATTTATATATGTATTTGCATGGATCAGATTAAAGATAACTTTCAGCCTCGTTTTCCTTATCTGGGGACCAAGAAAACTGGCATGAATATTCCAGCCTTCCTACTGTCTTTTGAAACTTCATTGTTCTCTTCATTTTAATTTTTCAAATTCATCTTCTAATTCTACAAATTTCTTCTTTAATTACTGGTTCTCCTTGATTGCAGCACAAGCTTTAGTTTAGAAGTGGACAGAACTGCTGGTTCTTTTTCCATAGTCTGAACATTGTTTCTCAAAACGGTCAAGAGAGTTTATCTGGCAATATTTTCTTTATGGCTTTTAGCTCTTGGCAGCAAACTTTCCAGAAATTTTTATTGGGTGAGAGGCCTAGAAGCTGAGACTGAGCCTATTTGGATTAATACTTAACAAGAGAGGCAGCAAGTTCCAATCACGACTTTTCAATCACATCCCAACGATCGCGTAACGTCTCTCAATAGGGGTTTTCAACAAAATTAGATTTCTACTTCCAGAAATTCATTATTAAGACCAGGATAACCATGCAGACTTCCTTTATCCCATAGATCCCCCTCTGGTAATTTGCTTCTGAAATTTAGGTATTTTTCTCCTTTCTTATCAGCTATTTCTCCTATCTAAAGCTGTACCCTCTATGGTTCATTTTTTCCCCTTTCCTGTCTTTGTTTCTTTTTTTGTGTTATAATTTAACAAATGCTTACAAGCCAGCTCTCTTTTGGACATGGTGCTAGGCTTTAAGAATAATTATGAAGAGGACATGATTTCTTACCTCTCTGACTACGGGTACCATTGTGATAGAGTCACATGGTTCTGAGATACTGAGAGTCCAGGGCTATGCTCGCCCAAGTAATGAGCTCTGTAATGGAGATACTTAAAGACTATTTTCCTGGTCTCTTAGAACTTCTCTTTTTTGCTGAGCAGATTCTCTTTTTGTCATTGATGTTTTGCACATAGCTATCAACTCGATCACCAATACTAAAATTAAAGAAGACCTAGTTATCCATAAACCATCCCTATAAAAGACACTCATTTTAGAGAAAACTTGCAAACTTTTGCTCAAGACATTGCCCACAGTCCAGAACTCCATAATTATGATGCAGGACAAACCACCGAATATCCATCTGGGAAAACATAGAGTGCACTCTGCCAGGCATGGATATACTTCACATTCATCAAATAAGAGAGGTGGAGTCTAATTTTGAAGTTTGGTCTGCCAGAATACTAGAGAAGTTATTAAAGAGAAAGTTATATAAAGAAACTCTGGGGTGATTACTATTGTAAAGTCATATATCCCTTTATAAAGTATAAAATGACTAATTTTGTAAATTGCCCCCACCCAGTTGTGTTTTATAAATATGAATTTTTATATGTGCCTGGTTTCTTTGAAAAGAGAATCACCTGACTAGGTGACCATAGCTCAGTGATTAGGGCATCAGCCACATGCACCAGGGCTGGTGGGTTCGAACCTGGCCCGGGCCTGCTAAGCAAAAAAAAAAAAAATAGCCAGGCATTGTGCTGGGTGCCTGTAGTCCCAGCTACTAGAGAGGCTAAGGCAAAAGAATCACTTAAGCCCAAGTGTTTGAGGTTGCTGTGAGCTATGATGCCGAGTACTCTACAGAGGGCAACAAAGTGAGACTCTGTCTTAACTTAAAATAAAAAAGAACAGAGAATCACCTATAGGGGTGTGGAGATTTCAAATGCCTAAAAGAAGACCCAAAGGAAAGCATGAGGGTTCTGGACTTGCTATTTAGAATGAGCATTTACTCATGAGCTCCAGCATCATACCCAGCAAATCACAAGGCAGCAGGTGGTGAGGGGAAGAAAAGCAGCACAGCCTATGCTTAACCTCCTTTAGAAACATTTCTAGGAATATGTAAATGAATGAGCTCCACTGGCAATCACAGTGAATGAATGGTGTGAGAACTGAGCTGGGTGGGTTGGGGGCAGAGAATATGGGAACTGGGAAAACCTTCAGCAGTCCACACTGTGCTATCTGTCTTCCTCATTTGTGTGCTTTCTGAGTCAGCATTAGCTAAATTTTCCAGAAATCCATGCACAAAGTACAGCCTGGCCATTCAAGGGACGTCACTCATTTCCCCTAGTGACCTTGACAAGTCAGAAGCTTGAAAGCAGGGAAATCCGGATGTCTCGGTTGTGAAGTGGAGCAGTTGGAGCCTCAACATAGTTCCAGAACTCTCCATCCAAACCAGAGATAGAGCATCTGCCTCTCGTACTGCCAGTGGCCATTTGGGGCTCCTCCCTGGCTCTAAGAGGTCAGCACAATGGCCAAGGACCTCAGCCTCAGCCTGGTGTTGCTTCTTGCTTCCATCTGGACCACAAGGCTCCTGGTCCAAGGCTCTCTCCGTGTAGAAGGTAGGTTTCTTACCAGATTTCCAAACTGGTGAGGTAAGGCAAGATCTTGCAAACTTTCCTAAGCCTGCTAAGCTCTTGACTGTGGTTGCTAGGAATGAGTATGACTCTCAGTGCCAATAGGTCTAATTGGCAGTATCACCCTGCCAGAAATAGTTTCCCCATATTGTCAGCTTCACCGGAGTGATTTACATTTATCTTTATTTGGGTCATCTTGACTTGTATTTTTGATTATGGAATATTTTTAATGAGACTATCTTGAAATAAAACATTGAAGAGAAATAATTTGTTTTTTAAAATGTTTCATTGAAGAAGGAAACCATGTTTGCAAATAATTTGAAGTAATCACTAAGGCTGGGAATAATGGGTAACTTTCAATAAATGTTGGCCTACTTTTTTGTTTGGGTGAGTGTCAGCATAGTGGTTTTAATTTTAATTTTACTGCACTATAAATGGAATGCAACATTTTTAATATGCAGTAAATCACAAAATAGTAAAATAACTGACAAGAATCTGTGAAAATATAAGTTTAAAAATTAAGCCGTCAGCTCCCTACCAAGGGAATGACTTAAAGTGGCTTTTGGGTTTTTGAGATGCCTAAATGTAAACCTAATTCTGCACTCTAGACAAAAAAAAAGTGTAACCACAAATCACTCACTGCAGCTCTGAGCAAATGAAAATCTGAGCACTTTCAAAGGAAAATTATATGTCCCTATACTGGAATATACCCTAAGATATAAAATATATTAGAAACAGATACCCAGACTTCACTCACATGTTGTTGTATAGGGGGGTTAGAGTTATATGACTGAGTTTTTTCAAATACCAGAACTGTTACTTTCAAATAAGTTTGATTCTCTTTGAAATTCTCTGGGAAGATTATTTACTTTTCTCCACAACTCTGTCATTATTTACACTAGTTTGGAAATTGTTTTTTGACAATTACTCCATCACATTCATTGGACCATCCTCAATAATGGCAAAAATTAAATTTTTAGGAACAGTCAAAAGTTATCATAACTATGATTGTGATGATAGTTGCCATCAGATGGCTGATGAAGGTGAGTGAATGGGGATGGGCGCTATTTTTGAGGGTCAATGATATAGAGATCCTGAGTTAGGTGTACATACACAATTTTTTTTTATTAAATCATAGCTGTGTACATGAATGCAATCATGGGGTACAATGTGCTGGTTTTACATACAATTTGAAATGCTTTCATTAAACTGGTCAACATAGCCTTCACGGCATTTTCTTAGTTATTCTGTTAAGACATTTATATTCTACACCTAGTAAATTTCACATGTACCCTTGTTAAGATGCACCATAGGTGTGGTCCCACCAATTACTCTCCCTCCACCCATCCTCCCCCAACCCCTCCCCTCCCTTTCCCCTTTCCCCTTCTTCTTGGGCTATAGTTGGGTTATAGCTTTCATAAGAATGCTATAAATTGCTTTCATAGTAAGACTGAGGATACATTGGATACTTTTACTTCCATTCTTGAGATACTTTGCTAAGAAAAAATATGTTCCAGTCCCATCCATGTAAACATGTAACAGGGAAAGTCTCCATCTTTCTTTAAGGCTGCATAATATTCCATGGTGTATATATACCACAATTTATTAATCCATTCATGGGTCGATGGGCACTTGGGCTTCTCCCATGACTTAGCAATTATGAATTGGGCTGCAATAAACATTCTGGTACAAATATCTTTGTTATAAAGTGATTTTTGGTCCTCTGGATATATACCTAGTAGAGGAATAGTAGGATCGAATGGCAGGTCTATTTTTAGATCTCTAAGTGTTCTCCAAATATCCTTCCAAAAGGAATGTATTAGTTTGCATTCCCACCAGCAATGTAGAAGTGTTCCCTTTTCTCCACATCCATGCCAACATCTCTGGTTTGGGGATTTTGTACACACACAATTTCATTTAATCCTTTCAAGAAGACACTCACTTTATAGATGAAAAAATAGGCTCAGTGAGGCCAAGTGACTTGCCCAATGTCATGCAGTTAACAAACAACAAAATTTGGGTTTAAATTTGGCTCTGATTCCTAAGCATATACTATTATCTGGTATTATATACACAGATATGACTTTTCAGCATATGCTATTTCTACTATGCTTGCTGTTTCCTAAGACATCTTAAGGAAAGGGTTACTGGAGGACTCCTTGGATCCCAACTTCCTCTTTTTATCCCTAAATGAAATAGGAAAGCATAAAATAACATTTGCCAACTTCCTACTGCACCCAGCCTCTGCTAGATGCAAGTTATCTAATGTAATTCTGACAAAAAAAAAAAAATCAGGTCAAGAAGATAAAGCCATCCCCATTTTACAGATGAGAATGCTACTTGCCCATTCAAGTCAATTTCCAATGCAGCAGCCATGAGAGATGTGAGCAATAGAAAGCTTATGAGTAAAGGAGCCTGGGTGTGCGTGTGCGTGTGTTCAGTCTCCTGTAGCACAGCGGAAGACAGAACAGTATCATGTAGCTGGGTGCAGCAACACACACACGTCTATACTTCCAAATACCTGGGAGGCTGAGGTGGGAGGATCATTTGAACTCAGGAATTTCAGACCAGGCTGGGCTCAGGAGTTGGAGACCAGCCTGAGCAAGAGTGAGACCCATCTCTAAAAATAGCTGGGTGTTGCAGTGGGCACCTATAGTCCCCAGCTACTTGGGAGGCTGAGGCAAGAAGATCACTTGAGCCCAAGAGTTTGAGGTTGCTGTGAGCTATGATACCAAAGTGAGGCTCTGTCTCAAAAAAAAAAAGAAAAAAAAATTTTTTAGAAGAAAGAACTGGTTTTTGTTTCTGGTTTTTTGTTTTTTTTTGAGACGGAGCCTCAAGCTATCCCCCTGGGTAGAGTGCCATGGCATCACGCTCACAGCAACCTCCAACTCCTGGGCTCAAGCGAGTCTCCTGCCTCCGCCTCCCGAGTAGCTGGGACCACAGGTGCCCGCCACAACGCCCGGCTATTTTTTGGTTGCAGCCATCATTGTTGTTTGGACGGGCCCGGGCTGGGGATTCGAACCCGCCACCTTAGGTGTATGTGGCTGGCGCCTTAGCCGCTTGAGCCACAGGCCCCGAGCCAGAACTGGGGTTTTTGAGTCAGGCATAATTGTGTTTTTGTCCCCAGTCTGCCACCTGGTTGCTCTGTGTCCTTGGGCTTTGAAAAGTTACTTAATCTTCCTGAGCCTCGGTTTTCTCTTAAAAGAAGGTGTGGCATGCACACTGTACCTCATGATTGCATTAATGTACACAGTTATGCTATAAGAAATAATAAAGGAAATTTGAATGGGAAAAAACAAGAAGGTATGGCAGAGAATAACATTGAGAGATGATAAGAGTTGAAATTAAAATTGATATTAATATCGATATGGGTATGGGTATAGATATTAGTATCAGTATCTACTGTCATAACAGGCTGCTCTGTCACCCCAATTATAAACACTAATATTGGGGTGTTGGCCCTCATCTCTCTTGGTTGAGAGCAGGATCTGGAAGCAAATCAGGCCGTCCACAAATGCCGAACATCATGCACACATCCCTCCCCCCAGCCCCTGCTCAGAACACAAGGTCACATGGAAGACTTTGAGAAATGCTCCCTCAGTATTTGCAAAAGGAAATTCCCTTTAAATGCCAACCTAGAAAGTGGTCAAAGCATCTGACTGGGCATCCAAAACCCAGCCCTGCAAGTAAGTAATCACTCAGAAGATCTAAATGGCCTTTTATGGACTTTTACAGATGAAGCCCAGTACTTAAATACCATGCAACCTGGCAATTTCGAACAAGTCTATACAGCCCAGAACCCAGAGGAAAGGGGTCAGAAGAACTCCCAAACCCATTCAATTTTGAGTTGAAATATTATTCACATTTCCCTGTGCAACTGCCTCTGCTTCCCTAGAGGAATTAGCAGACTAAAACTAAAATGCCTTAACAATAACGACGATGGTATGCTATGTATGATTTACTGAACACCGACTGTGTAGGGCAGGCACCGTGCTAAGCATTTTTATTAGAATTTACTCATTGAGTTGCACTATGCTGTGCAGTAGATTCGGTTATTCTCTCCATTTTATAAATAAGGAAACTGAGGCTCAAGGAGATGAAGTATCAAGCCTCCGATCAGAGTTAATAAGCAACCTAGAAGCCCAGGTCTGACCCCTAACTCTACTTTCTTTGTTTTTCTGTCAGATTCTAAGTTCTACTGCCTCCTGTAACTTCTGAGTAAGCCTGCCCCCCAATGGTCAGGGAAGAACTGAAACTAAGAGCACTCTTCACATTTCAGCTGACCTCAGACATAGTGATATCCCCAAACCACATGGGTTTGGAATTAATCTATTAACCCGAGCCCTGACTTCTACCTTTCTCAAAGTCTCAGATGCTTCATTTCACAGACTCCAAAAAAAGTTTTCAGCAACTGTACTGTCCAAACTCCACCCCAGAAACTGGTAGCCAAAGCTGCCCGTGATGAACAAGGTACCTTAATGCCCTGGAATAAGATGGATTCTATTGGATGAGATTTACAGCTTGGATCAGAGCAAGCATCCTTCCAAGCTAACAGGCTGTCCTTATGGGGAATATGTGGAGTTTGAGACCAACGTGGGCAACCCAGCCTCAAGCCCACTCAGAGCTCACTGCTGTATCTAGACAACAATGCTTTAGTAGGAAGGAGACAGTAAGCCCTGGAACAAGGATAGCAGCAAACTGAGGACCCATGTAATTTTTTTTTTTTTTGCAGAGATTTCCATCTTGTCACCATGCAGAATTGTAGGGATCACCCTTGTGAACAAAAAGGGGAACCTGAATTTCACAGATGCCAAGGAGGCCTGTAGGCTGCTGGGACTAACTTTGGCCAGTAAAAAGCAGGTTGAAGAAGCATGGAAAGCTAGCTTTGAGACCTGCAGGTGAGAAACAGCTGGATTCCCTAGCGCTGCTGGAGCCCTTTTGGCTCTGTGTTCTTGTTCAGCAGTAGAGATGATGCCTTCTAATCATAGGTCTGTTCAACTAGCCTGTATTTTTTTACAGCTACGGATGGGTAGAAGACAGATTCTCGGTCATCCCTCGGATTCAGGCAAACCCCAAGTGTGGGAAGAATGGGGTGGGTGTTCTAATTTGGAGAGCTACAGTTAGCCAAAAGTTCGGGGCCTATTGTTACAACTCATCCGGTAAGTGAAATTTGCACCCTTTCCACGTGGCATGTTTCCTCTGGGTATTTCTAGCTCTGTGACCTGAGTAACAGCAATCACAGCAATGGTCATCTGATTCTCCCAAAACTGTCTTTCTGACCAGGCTAGAGGTGGCAATGTGCCACTCAGGGGGAAAAGTCAGGAAAAATAGGAATGGCAAACCAAGAAGAGGGCATTCAGGAGGCTCAATTACTACCTCCACTACCCAAATCCTATAAGATACTCAGGAAGAAAGCAAGCAAGCAAATGTATAAATTCATGTAATACATCCACTACAGACAAAATGACATATAATCATCCCTTGGTATTCACGGACTATTGGTTCCAAGACCCTCTTGGGTACCGAAGTCTGGCGTAAATGGTTGCTATACTCTATTGTTTGTTTATATTCTTTTTTTTTTTTTTT